AGACCAAGAGAAAAATGTACAGAAGACCTAATTAAGCACTTCACAAAAGAAAAAACACAAATAGGGGCTGGCCCCGTGGTCGAGTGGTTAAGTTCCCATGCTCTGCTTTGGCGGCCCAGGGTTTCGCTGGTTTGAATCCTAGGCGCAGACATGGCACCGCTCATCAAGCCATGCTGAGGCCACATCCCATATGGCAGCAAAAAGAAATGAACTACAGCAAAATGGATTGTCATGGATAAATATAAAAAGAAAGTGTTAAATCAAAAATGCAACTTGCAGAAAAATACATGAAAATTTAAAATATACATAGTTTAGTGAAAAAATGTGTTAAGAAAACTATAAAGAAAAGAGTAACAGAAAATTCAGGATAATTACCTCCAGCGGGCTGGGAGGGGGCTGATCAGGAACGGGGAAGGGCACCGGTGAATCAAGGGTACTGCTTTTCTATTTCTTAAGCTTGGCAATGGGTACTTGTTTTATTATTATTCTTTAAACCGAATATTTATAACCTTTTGTTTGTATGATACATTCCAAAATTTTAAAGTAAGTACTATTCACATATTTTATTTTATTTATTTACTTATATTTATAAAGATTGGCACCTGAGCTAACATCTATCACCAATCTTCTTCTTCTTCTTCTTTTTTTTTCCTTCTTCTCCCCAAAGCCCCCTGGTACCTAGTTGTGTATTCTAGTTGTGAGTGCCTCTGGTTGTGCTATGTGGGACGCCGCCTCAGCATGGCTTGATGAGCGGTGCCATGTCTGCACCCAGGATCTGAACCAGCGAAACCCTGGGCTGCCAAAGTGGAGTGCACGAACTTAACCACTCGGCCACAGGGCTGGCCCTCACATATTTTAAAAAGAAAATAAAACCACTAGAAACAATGACCGAATTGGAAGTGATGGTATTTAATCCTAGCACCAGACTAGCCCTCTAAAGACCAGTCTTCCTTAAAAGGAACCAGGACCTCCTCGAAGTAATAGCTGATTCGAGATCTGGGACAAGAATTATCCAAGATGAACCTGAAACATCTGTTATACAAGAAAGCAAGGCTGTTATCCAAAACCTACTGGAGTCATGTCAAAAGGACAAGAAGCCAATTGAAGAGACTTCCAACAAGTCTCTGAGTAAAATCTAAACTCGAGATTTCAGGATTAACGTAATACCACAACATAGAATATTCTAATAACTTTCAATTAACTCTAGGTGACCCGGGCTTCCAAAAGAACCCAAAATACTGATGCAAGGCTGAAATTTAATGTCTCAAAATAATTTGGGAACCACAGCTCAATTTCTTTGAGTGAGCTAGTCCCCAAACACAAAACAGGTACTTGTAAGGTAAAGTATCTCTTTAAGATCATTTCTCTACAATTATAGATATGACAGATAGGCAAACTATAAATAAGATGACTGAAAATACTACTTACTCGTTCAATTACGCATTGTTTATACTTCTTTTTCTCTATATCTGCACTCATAGGGACCAAATGTATCTCGGTGTGTAATTAAGCCATGAACTTTTTGTTGAAAGACTTAAGATCATTCAATCTATCCTCAAATTTTTAGATAACACGATATTTAAATTAATAACCTTTACAGGTAAGTATCTATACTATTCTTTAAAATTTCTAGGTAAAGATTATATAACATGCTTAATAAACACCTAGTAAGACATGATCAGGCCCAATTTTTTCTCAGAAAGAAATCTGAGTGATGCTCAGTACTACAGGATAAACAAAAGTACCCCACAAAGTTTGTGATATGGACTTATTTTTTAATGGGGATGAAATACTCTTTCTCCCTGTAAAAATAACAACAGCAACTTTCTGTGGATCAGCCCTAAAGGTAAACCCGCCTATACCGATCTCAGATGCATTCAATTTACTCATGTTATTAACAAAGGCATTAGTTGTGCTGGCAATTGAGGAAGTATGAGAAATGTTTCTATGAGAAACTAAACTATGATGATTAATTTATTTCCCATAAGCAACTGCACCACAATTAGATGGTAACTGTCCATTTACTGCCAGTCTCCATGAGATAAATCAGTTACTCAAAAATGAAAGGTCCCGAGTCATGTTCCCAGTTTTCCAGCCATTCAGTGGGTCTTCATCTGACGTCTTCCTCCCATAAAGCATAAGAATCCACTCCAGTTAAAATCCCTTGTAACGATTTCAACCAATGAGCTCAGGAAATCAATTCGTTCTCTGAGCCGCTTTTTTAGCCCTTAAATGCATTTCAGCACATGCAGCAATATTCATTCAGTACACCCTCAATTTCAACTGTTTTAGCCTTTGCAGAAACACAGCTACTCAAACTCATTCACTGGGCAAATGAACTCTCTTGAGCTTAATTAGAATTAATTAATTAGAACATTTATTTGCTTAAGTTTCTAACTTCTAACAATGTCTTCATAATAGAAAAGCGCAAAGCAAATCAATAAAGCCAAAAAAAGCACTTCTAAGGGCTACTGGACCCCAATAGTCAGAAGTTATGCCCACACAACAGCAAGGTTAAGATGTACAAGGTAAATTACTGCTGAACCTCATGAACTGGACCATGCCCACATCACCTCCACCTGGTTATTATTAGAGGACGTAAACACAAAGGCTTAAGGCAGCGATCCCCTCCTCCTCCCCGTGAGCCCCACAGGACCCGCTGCGATGTCGCCAAGACCGCAAATGTGTCTTGTTCTTTGCTGAAGCCACACCATCTGGCACACGATAGGTGTACAGGAAATATTTGATAAATAGTTTGTTTAGGAAGCTGCTTACCCCCACCCCTTTTTTATATTCAGCACTGAATACCCACTATGTACCAGGTATCATGCTGGGGACAGAGCAGTGAATGAGACACAGCACCTGGCCTTATGGAGCCTCTAATCTGGTTTATACCGTATCTTGTGTTAATATCCATTCAAGCTCTCATCACACTCGATCACAATTGTTAAACTCCTCTAACTGCATTTCTATAACCTATTTGGACCATCTTACCACCATTCAAATCAGGAAGAATCCACTATAACAGTGGTTTACAAACTTCATTGTACGTTAGAATTACCTGGGTGAAAGGGGAGTTTTAAAAACCCTGATGCCCAGGCCAAACCCCATCCCAATAAATCAGAATCTCTGGGAACGGAACACAGACATCAGAATTTTTCCAAGCTCTCCAGGTTATTACAATATGCAGTGAAGTTTGGGAACTAGTGCGCTATACCATATATGCATACGCTCATTCCCGCATCCACGTGGGCCTTTACAACCTACCCTGTCTCCTCGGTCAAGAATATTTACCCTGCTTTTCTCTAGTCATTCACCTTTCTGAAATTTCACCTCCTTTTTGAAGCTTTTCTGGATCATGCAGTGTACACTGAACTCCCTGAGCGACAGCTTTTTTTAAATACTCAGTGGTACTTTCATTTATACAAACATCTTCTTTTTTCCTCTCTAGAACCTTACTTTATAACTAACTTTAATTATTGGTTATTTTGAGAACATCTAATATCCCTAACTGGATAACAACATTTTTGCAGCTGAGACAGTGTCTTACACTCCTTTTATGTCCCAAAGCGTTTAGCACAGCCCTAATCAGCAAATGTATAACATACAATAAATATCTATTAACTTATCTGTCACTGCTCAATAAAGGGCTACATGCAATCATCTGAAAACTCCCTTTTGGTTATCTATGTGGCTCTCAAAACAACTGGATCTTGGGGCCAGCCCCGTGGCTGAGTGGTTAAAGTTCCACACACTGCTTCAGCGGCCTGGGTTCACGGGTTTGGATCCTGGGCGAGGACCTACTCCACTCATCAGCCATGCTGTGGAGACATCTCACATACAAAACAGAGGAAGACTGGTACAGATGTTAGCTCAGGGCTAATCTTGCTCAAGCAAAAAAAGAGGAAGATTGGGGGCCAGCCGGTGGTACAGTGGTTAAGTTTCCACATTCCACTTCAGCAGCCCAGGGTTTGTCAGTTCAGATCCCGGGTGCAGACCTACGCACTGCTTGTCAAGCCATGCTGTGGTAGGCGTCCCACATATAAAGTAGAGAAAGATGGGCATGGATGTTAGCTCAGGGCCAGTCTTCCTCAGCAAAAAGAAGAGGATTGGCAGCAGTTAGCTCAGGGCTAATCTTCCTCAAAAAAAAGAGGAAGATTGGCAATGGATGTTAGCTCAGGGTGAATCTTCCTCACCAAAAAAAAACAAAACAAAATAAAACACAATTGAATCTCACAAAAATAATGTTGTGTAAAAGAAGCCAGACAAAAGAATATTTACTGAATCATTCCATTCACAGAAAGTTAAAGAACAGGCAAAAGTAATCTGTGCATTAGAAGTCAGGACGCTGGCTACCTTTAGAAAGGATGGAAGGAAAAGTAGGAGGCAAGGAAGATGTTTCTGGGGTGCTGGTCTGGGTAAACGCCGGTTTCATGGGTGTTTTCACTACCTGATAATTCATATTGAGCTGTACACTGACCTGTGCACTTTTCTATATGTGTGTTTTATTTAAACAGAAAAGCTTTTAAAAATCTAAGCACCCTTTGAAAAATCTGCATAACCATCTCCTTTTCCAACATAACCTATTTCTAACAAACCTTGCAAATTAAACCAATGTAAACCCACTAAAAAAATATAAGAAAATGAACTATTTGTGAAATGGCCTGAAAATGAATGTTAAAAAACTAAAGTTTTGGGCCAGCCCCGGTGGTCTAGTGGTTAAGTTTGGCACACTCCGCTTCAGCAGCATGGGTTCGGTTCCTGGGCACAGATCTACACTGCTCTGTTAGCAGACCTGCTGTGCTGGCAGCTCACATACTAAAAATAGAGGAAGATTGGCACGGATATTAGCTCAGAGCAAATCTTCCTCAGGAAAAAAAAAAAAAAACCCTAAAGTTTCACACCAGAGTTTGGTTAAGGTGGTAAAGAACACAATAAACCTGAGGACATAAACCTAAAATAAATCTTATATTCTGTCAGGCTAAAAAAAAAAGTCCTACCTGTACATCCAGTCGCCATTCGAGGCTGTGGTAACTGGGAAGGTCTGGTGCCAACTCACTGAGAATGGTCCTGATCTCCTTTCTGTTATCCAGATAAAGCTGAAGCAACAGTTTGTTCAGTTCTTCAGAGAATCCCAGAACGAAGACAGAGTCTTGGAAATCCAGCTCAGATATCTAAGCGTGAACCAAGGTTAAAAGAACATCAAAACTTATCTTTGTCTAGGAAACGCTAACATACTTGATACACCTAAAACATTATCTTCCCTAATTCTTTTCTGTTTAGTAAAATAAAAAACGCTCCTTATAGCTAAAGGCAACCCTTGCCCACTATTCCAAAATCTGAGTTTCTGATATCTAAAAATGCCATATTAAAGTTTAAAAGGGAAAGAATTGTTAAAACGCCCAGTTTTCTGTCCTATTCTCCATCAAGCCAGATTCTCCTAATATGCAAAAAACAAATGGTCAATAATTTAATTCTGCCCCCTCTCAGGATATGCACTACTGCCTATGGCGTCATAACACGCACATTCGAGGCACTTCTAATTTATACTGGCGAGAAGCGTCCATACCCGGGGTCACGCTCTAGTTTACACCGTCTAGGCGCGGCTTCGCTAAATCTGTTAGGAACCACTCGCGCCTCCCTGAACTAAGCAGGTCCCCGCCGGGACTACGATGCAGCGGGCGCTGGACCTCCCTGAGGTCCGGGGGATGCACAGAGGCCCCAGGAGCCCTTACCAGCAGCTTCGAGCTCTCCGTGAGGAGGTACGTCAGCCCCTCCACCCCATGCTGGACCGTGTCAGTGCTCACGCTGAGCTTTCCTGGGACAGACGGACAGCGAGCAAATCGAGGCCTGTGCGATGCTTACCCTGTCATTCAGACTCTCATTCGAGAATAAGTATCACCCACCATCCCGCGGCCTCAAACACCACAATGAAACCGGGCTACCACCAGCCTGCCGCCCCTCTCCACTCCCCACTAGGCGCCAGCAGCAGTGCCGGCCGCGGACCCCACAGAGCATCGCCCGCGCCCGCGCGCCCTTCTGCGCAGGCGCAGCCTCGTGAGCGCGCCGGCCGCCGGCGGCGGGAGCCCGACTCCGGCCCAAGACTAGTGTGGTGGCTGCCGCTCCCCGGGCCACGTCGGCCTCTCGCCCCCCTGGCCGTCCGCCGCGGCCCCCTTACTGGCGGCGCCCTCGTAGATCTTGGGGTTCGCGCCTCGCCTCAGGAACTCCACCGCGATCCGCCCGAACTCGGCGACCACTGCAACGGGAGCCGGGCGTGAGCGCCGCGCGCGGCCCGGGCCGCCCCCCACCCTCCCGCGCCGCCCGCCCCACCGCGTCCCGGACCCGCGCTGTCCACTCGCGGCAGGAAGGCCAGGTGCTCCTTATGCTCCTCCGACAAGTCCAGCAGCATCTTCGCGTGCAGCCCGTTGTCCCCCGGCAGCGAGACCCCGCCCTCGCCACTTCCGGCAGCCGCGTTCCGCTGCCGAGAGGCTCGGGCGCCTCCGCGTCCCGAGCTTTGGGTTCCGGCCTGCGGCTAGGTGCGCGGTGCCCCGCGCAGTGGAAGAGGCAAGGATGCTGACGATGCGACACGCCCCCTTGTGGAGCTGACGCTAATAACATCGATGGCTAACGTTTGTTAAGCGCTAAGTCAGGAACTGTCCTTACATTTACTAACTCAGAGTTCACTAGAATGAAGTAGGGACCATGACGGTTCCCATTAGAGATGAAGAAACTGAGAGACAGGTCAAGGAACTGAAACTAACTTTTATAGAGCTGTTATTTGCACAGAACCTTTGTATATGGATCTTGTTTGATTTATCTCATTTAATGAGCTCAATAGCCGTGACCTCGTTTTTATAGATGAGGCATGAAAACTCCAAAGATTGTGTAATGAGCCAGAGGCAGAGCTGGGAGAAGAGAGTCAGATCGCTTGACCACTACCTGCCCCAAAGCGCGTCATCTACACAGCAGGCGGGAAGCGGAAGGTTTGTCACAAGTTCTGTGAGTGACTATAAATTGGGATAAGCTGGTGATGATGATGGTGACCGATGCTTGCAGGGTCCAGAACAATGTCTATTTTTATGTGTTGTGGGCGTGTGAGAATGTGGTTCCTTTCCCAGCTTTCTCTTCTCACCTGCTGTGGTTCGAATATGAGAGACTACAGAATTGCTAATTGATAGGCATGTGAGTCTCCAAATCTCAGCTCCTTGGTGAGGGAGAGGGTGGGGGGAAAAGAGCAGGGGAGGGAGAGAGACTTTGTATCTCTCCTTATATCTAGGGATTGAGACAACTCTTTCCATATTCCGTGTTTCCTGGGCAGACGTGAAAATCGGATGAGTTTTTCAGCTTTCTCTCAGTGTCTACCTCGTCTCTCACATCTTATTGAAGTTGAAGTTGTTTGTTTCCTCCCCTGGGGTACAGAAAGGCAGGTCCTTAGACTTCTTAGTTAGGTCTGAAGCAGCGTTTGCAGAGAGAGCACAATTTTTACTTGGATTGTAAATTGCAGATCAGCAAAAATGACATCATCTCCTGAAGAAGCTTTTACTCATGCGTCATTGAGAAAATGTCTGTTATTTAAAATGTCTATTATTATTTAAGAATAATTCTCAGAAAAGGTAAAATCATGATTCTTCTACAAATACATAATAAATGTCAAAGATTGTATTGAACTCATGAATTAATGAGGGAATCAGTAAGATTTCTGTAAGAACCACTTTCAACTGGTTCAAAAGAGGTATTCAAGAAGCATGCCCATGTAGGGATGTATATAGGAATGCGGAAATGAGTTTACAAACAGATACAACCTTATGCCAATGTGATGAAGCCTTTCTGCCCTGTGACCTTAGGGCCTGAAGTGGGGGCAGGGGAGGTGAAGGTGGGGAATAGGGAGAATGAGGTGGTCAAGACGAGTGACCACGGTGGGGAACCAGCCTGGGAGCTAAACTCCCTACAGTAATTTATAGAGTGACTTTTTGTTACCAAATGTCATGTAGTTGTTTAAGGGAAATTACCTGTGTGAGAAATCAAACATCTAGATTCCAGATCTGGCTCTGACACTTCCTACTGGTAAGGCTCCAACAGGGTGTTTTTATACGTTATAAACTTAGCCTCTTCGTTTGTAAAATGGCTGTTTGAACGGTGACTGCCCTGCTTTGCCAGCGGGGCTGTTATGGTGCTCAGATGAACTGATAAATTCATGTTAAGAAATTGATTTTGATGATCAAATGAAACAAATTCACATTAAGCAACTGAAGGATTTGTGAGCTGAAGCCTTTATATTTTATAGGAGCCCATTTTCTGTGCACAAATCATTGAGAATTCCTGTGCACGGTCATCCTAAAACCCATTCGTTTAATTCAACAAATACTTTTAGAGCAATTACTCAGAGGTTCAAGCGTATGCTGTGCCTTGGCAATTTGGAGATGAATAAAACAATGTCGTTGCCCTCTAGGAGATGACAGTAAAGTGAGGGAGACAATCAAGTAATTTCGATACAGTGTGTGAGTGGTAATACTTGAGGACTGAACAAAATAATATGGAAGCGTAAAGAATCCCGGGGTCCTGTCCCGGCTGAGTCCAGGTTCCTGAGGGATGGACGGCGTCGGCGCAATGAGGGGAAAATAAAGAGGACGTGAGACTTGGGATGGTGTTAGTAAGTCCGACTTTACTGTGCACAAGTGTTGTTTATATATTTTTCAGGATTAGTATAGAAATGGTTCTACAAATATTCTCAGAGAGATAAGGAAGTAAAAAAAAAACGAGCACAAGAATGTTTATTAGCATTCCATTCTATAGAGCATAAGGTTAATGGTAGTCTTCTCCGCAACTAACTAGTGTTTGTTGTCTCTAAGCTAAAAGAGATAGGTACCTAGACACCTGTTGTAATTCATGGTAAAGTTAAATCAAAGAGAGAAGGTCCAGGCCTCCGGACAGGACAGCAGTCCGTCTGTTTACATCCTGGGGGAGCCATCCCTCCCTCCCTCAATCATTTATGCCATTAGTGTAGATGGTTAGTGGGAACAAAACGCGACTCCAGGGTATCTTATCCCCAGGGCTATCTGCATTCTCAGCGGGCAGTTAAACATCTTTACATTTTCGCGCCCTTTAGGGGGTGAAAGCATTCCTTTGTCTTTTAGATTGTGGAGCTAACAGTCCCTTAAGCACACTGCCAGAGAAAGTATCATTTTGTTAGTAAAGTAAAGGGCTGAAAAGCTAAGCTAAAGTATATATCTTCAAGAATGAAAAACAGAAATAAGTATAGACATAACCTTGCTAGAAAGCATGCATATAATTCAGAAAATATCAGGGGTGTCGGCCGGCCATTCTTCACCGAGGGGCATCCCTGCACCCCTCGGCCCTTCTACTCATCAATTGTTTATTATTTATTGCTTTTAGGAGAAGACCTCTATAACATTTTAACAGAAAGCAGAAGGTCAAGAATAATATATAGATACTTCTTGATCATCCAATTAACCAGCAAACTTAGAAGGACGATGCATATATATATTTAGACAAAGAACTGGAGAGAGAAGGAAACATTAACCAGATAGAGGCCATAAACCTAATTCGACATCTTATCTGGGCAGGATTCCTTTCTGCTTGTCTCAAATGGGACTGTGTGCTCCTCCGTTAATTAACTGAAAAATATCTTGAAAGTTACCTACAGGTGGTCACATTCTCTTACTATATTTAATTTTCCTGGGAGGTAGTGCCTCCCAAGCAGCCACCCAAAGGAGTGAAAACTGGAGGTTAAGAAAGGAAAAGGAATGAAGGGCAAATAGAAGCAGCACAGGTTTCAGAACTATGTGAGGGGCCGGCCGGTTATTCTTCACCAAGGGGCGGCCCTGCACCCCTCGGCGTTAATCGGCTGGACCCTGTCAAACAGCCGATCAAATGATGTAGCCACGGCTCCCGGCAAAAGAAGGTGGCAATTAATTCTGATTTCAATAAGATTCAGGCTTAGAATAAATGTCGCAGGGTATCCTGTGCATGCTCATAATAATGCTTTACAATTGTATAACATAAGTATAGAAGCTCTTAATGTCACTTCATGCTGTCTCACTTCTGGGACTAAAGTGAAAAAAGAATAAATACTCCATATTTTTTCAGTTAATTCTGGCAGGGAACACTACTTTCTATCAATGGTCCTCTCACATTCTGTCCTCATCTTTCTGTCTCCCTCCACCTTACCCACCTATCTTTTCCCTCATATTTCCCCATATTCCTTTTTTCTTCCTAGGCATTCCAGCCCAGAATCTTTGCACCAGGCATTCACTTGGCTGTGTTTCAATGATACCTAAAATATTATCATCTCCTGCTAGGAATTGCAGTTCAATTCAGCATACTGTCAAGGGGACAGTAGCGTGGTGACACCCATCACTCACATGAACCGCCCTCTCGTGAGTCTGAGGCTGGCAATCAATGCGTGAATTAGCTCCTTGGATTTTTTTTTCCATTATTTTAGTTCACTTTTTCAATTGGATTATAAAATCCACACAGAAAAGGGAACAGATAAAAAATACTTTGTTGAATTTTCTCAAATTGAACACGCCTGTTGACCCAGATCAAGAAATTGCCTGTTACCAGTATCCCAGAACCTCCGCTGTGCCCTCTTCCAGTCACTCTCCCCTCTTACTGTTTCTACAGTGAACTAACACCTTTACACATGCTACCTTACACAACATCTCTTTGGCATTATCTTTGCATTTTCTTTTGTATTAACCTTCTATGTGCCCCAAGCCCATAATATCTAACTAGGAACTTAAAGGTTTTTTTTTGTTTTTTTTTTGGTGAGGAAGATTGGCCCTGAGCTAACATCTGTTGCCAGTCTTTCTCTTTTTGCTTGAGGAAGATTGTCGCTGAGCTAACATCTGTGCCAGTCTTCCTCTGTTTCATGTGGGATGCTGCATAGCATGGCTTGATGAATGGTGTGTGGGTCTGCACCTGGGATCCAAACCTGTGAACCCTGGGCCACCAAAGCAGAGCACGTGAACTTAACTACTGCACCACCGGGCCAGCCCCTAAAGGTATTTTTTCAAATGAGCTTTAGATTTAGGCGACTCTGACTGTTGTAACAGAATCTATCTTAAAAATCTTCCTAGCAAATAACATCAAAAAATATAAAATATTTAAGAAAAAAGTTAACAAAAGATTTATAAGACCTCTACACAGAAGACTAAGAAACATTGATGAGTGAAATTAAGGAAGACCTAAATGAAAGGGGACGAACACCACGGATGAAGAAACACGTCGTAGGTTGTCAGATTCAGTGTTAGTAAGATGTCACTTGCGCCCAGTCAAAATCTCAAGGGGTTTTTTGTAAAGAATGACAAGTTCATTTAAAAATCTATATGGAAATGCAGAGGACTGAGAGTAGCCAAAACAAACCTGGAAAAAGAACAAAGCTGGAGTATTCATAATACCTGATTCCAACAGCCGCTAGAAATCTATAGTAATTAAGACAGTGTGATCTCAGTATGAGGATAAGTAAATAGATCAATGGAGCAGAATAGAGTCTGGAAATAGATCCATTGATATATTGTAAATTGGTTTTTGACAGAGGTGCCAAGGTAATTCAGTGAGGGAAAGGAAAGTATTTTCATCAATTGGTACTAGAACAATTTGATAAACTTACGGGGGAAAAGTGAATCCTGACCCTCACCTCACATCACACACAGAAACAATTTGAGATGCAAAAAATTAAAAATAGAAATACCCTATCATCCAACTATTACACTACTGGGTGTTTATCCCAAGGACATGAAATCAATAATTCAAAAGGGTATATGAACCCCTATGTTCATCGCAGCATTATTCACAATAGCCAATATGTGGAAGCAACCCAAGTGCCCATCAGTGGATAAAGAAGATGTGATACACACACACACACACACACACACACACAGGAATACTACTCAGCCAGGAAAAAGACAAAATTGTGCCATTTCTGACAACATGGATGGACCTTGAGGGTATTATGCTGAGTGAAATAAGTCAGAGAAAGACAAATACTGTATGATTTCACTCAGGTATGGAAGATAAATACATGGATAAGGAGAATAGATTAGTGGTTACCAGAGGAGAAGGGGGTAGGGGTGGGCTAAAGGAGCACATATGTAGGTGACAGATAAAAAATGGACTGCTGGTGATGAACACAATGCAGTCTATACAGAAACTGAAATATAGTGATAAACACCTGGAATTTACACAATGTTGTAAGCCAATATGACCCCAATAAAATAATTAAAAAAATAATTCGAGATGGATTATAGACCTAACATAAAAGCTAAAACTATGAAACTTCTAGAAGAACACATACAAGAATATCCTCATTACTTTGGCGTAGGCAGAGAGTTCTTAGAGAGGAAAGAGAGATCATGAACCATAAAAGAAGAAAATGGTAAACTGTACTTTATCAAAGTCGAAAACTCTCATTCATCGAAAGACACCATTAATAAAATGAAAAAGTGAACCATAGGCTGGGGAAAAAATATTCACAATACATAGATCTGACAAAGAACTTGTATCGTGAGTATATAAAAATCTCCAGTGGCAGCCAGCCCAGTGGTTTAGTGGTTAAGTTCGCGGGCTTGCTTTGGTGGCCTGGGGTTCCCAGGTTTGGATCCCAGGAGCAGACCTAGCACTGCTTGTCAAGCCACAATGTGGTGGCATCCCACAAAAAATAGAGGAAGATTGACACAGATGTTAGCTCAGCAACAACCTTCCTCAGGCAAAAAGAGGAAGATTGGCAACAGATGTTAGGTCAGAGCCAATCTTCCTCACCAAAAAAACCCCAAAAACAAAAACCAAAAAAACCTCCAATGAACCAATAATGAATGAAAAGATAACACATTTTTTTTTTCTTCTTCTCCCCAAAGACCCCCAGTACATAGTTGTATATTTTAGTTGTAGGTCCATCTGGCTCTGCTCTGTGGAATGCTGCCTCAGCATGGCTTGATGAGGTGCTAGGTCCATGCCCAGGATCTGAACCAGAGAAACCCTGGGTCGCTGAAGTGGAGCATGTGAACTTAACCACTTGGCCACGGGGTGGCCCCTGACACAATTTTTCAAATGGGCAAAAGACCTGACTTGACCCTTCACAAAAGATATTCAGATGGCCAAAAGCACATGAAAAAGCATTCAATACCATTAGTCATCAAGTAAATGCTAATTAAAACCATAATGAGATGTCATTTCAAACCCACTAGAATAATTAAAAGTCAAAAACGCTGATGACATGAAATTTTGGCAAGTATGTGAAGCAACCAGAACACTTGTACATTGTTAGTGGGAGTGTAAAATCATAAAACCACTTCAAAGAACTTCTAGGCAGTTTCTTATAATGTTAAGTGTACATTTACCCTATTATCCAGCAGTTCCACTCCTAGGTATTTGCTCAAAAGAAATGAAAGCATATGTCCAGAAAAAGACCTTTAAAATAATGTTCATAGCTGCTTTATTCACAATATGACAAAACAGGAGGCAACCCAAATGTACATACAGTTGGATAGATAAATTATGGTGTGCCCATATAATGGAATATTACTTAGTAATAAAAAAGACCTGAGAAAGAGCTGTATGAAGGAAGTATAGATACTGGAGTTATTAGACTTGGATTCTGAAATAACTATGAATAATATGTCCAAAATATTAGATGACAGATAAAGAACTTAATCAGAGAAGTAGAAACTAAAAAAAAGAAAAAGAAAAAAGAAATTAACAAATTAGAAAGCAAATATATAATAGAAAGAATTACCAAAAGTAATAGTTATTATAAAAAATTAATAAAACTGGTAAGATTGATAAAACCATTACAAGACTGAATATCCATGACAAAATAAAAGTAGAGCAAAAGTTACCAATATTAGGAATGAAAAAGGGGCCATTACTACATAGAGTGGTAAAGAACAAAAGGGTGTGCTACTGATCCATGCAACAAAGGAAATAAATCTCAGAACGTCAAGTTGAGCAGAATAACCCAGGTGCGAAAGTGCATGACTGTATGATTCCTTTGACTGGGAAACTGTGCACAGAGAGAGAAATCAGAGTCGTGCGTCTGGAGGGGACTGGGGCAGACTCAGGAGCCTGAAGGAACTTTCCGGGGTAATGGAAGTGTTTACATCTTGACTGGGGTGTTGGTTACACAGATCTATGTATTTGTCACAGCCATTGAATCTTACGTTTAAGATCTGTGCAATTCACTGTTTGTAAACTTTACGTCAGTTTGTAAAAACTAATAGAAAGCAATGCTTTAGCAGAAGTTCAGAAGATGTCTGAGGCCAGTCCTAGACCTACATGGTCTTTCTAAGTGTCCTAGGGGCTTTCCCGGTGCTTACAGAATTCTCTTTATTTTTTTTAACTATAGACTACAATTCATATGGTTTAAAAAAATAAAAGCATTAAAAACAAACCCAGGAAAACCAAAAAAGAGAAAGGAACAGTAAAAATTCTCACTCCCATCCTTGTTTCCCATCCTCCCAGTTTCCCTGTAGGCGACTGCATTCTCAGGTTCTTATGAATTCTTCCTCAGACTCTTTGTGCAAAAACAAATGGCCTAGATTTTCACTTAGTGTGATGGAGTTCAAGAAAACATGGTGTTAAACATTAAATATCCTGTTGAAAGTCGTGCAGCATTTGGACTGTTGTTAGGAATTATAGGCTGAGTTGTTAGGAATGTTAACATTAGAGCTGGAGGTTCTGTTTGAACAGGTCTTCGCCCACACTGGGGTTGTCATGACTTTTCAGTGCAGTTTCAGTTTCCCAAGGATTTTTCCATGCCGTCAGGCCTCCTTGGGTAGTCAGGTTAGAAATGCTCTTTTTTGCTAGAACTCTTGCTATTCCTAACTGCTGAAGCCATCGTTTCTCTTTAAAGGCACTGCAAGAAAAGAAGACGTAATTTATAAAGAGATCCAATCTTGTCCCCGATTATAGCTGAAATGATGGAAAAATTTAGGTTGATTTTATAGCTGTGGGTAGTTTATCTTCTCACATGAGGTAGGATGTAAAATAGGAAAGAGGAATCATTCTAAAACCAGATCCTTGTAAAGCAGGGGAATGACGTTTTTCCAGGCAGTGCTGGAAGCTTAGAACCCACAATTAGAAAACCACTCAATGTCATTCGGAATTCTCTGGGCTGAAACTTTTTCCGTCTGTTCCCCCTGCATCCCTATACGGAACATGTTCCCCAGCCTATTCTCCCTTCTCGTCCTTCTCCCCCGCCACAAACACACATTTCTTCACTGATAAAATATTCGATATTTTGATAGCCTTTAACTGAAATGCAGTGAAACTTAATGTTTCCTGACAGCTATTCTCTGGCTGTATACTAATAAAGACTTGTAAATTTGAATGTGGTTATTCCTACTTTCTAGGGTGCAAGTGTGATTTACACAGAGGGGTTTCACATTCCCTTGAACGTTGGGGTCCTCTAAGATTCTGTCCTTTGCCCTTCTCTCCTTCTACACGCTCATCCTGGGAGGCCTCGTGTACTAATTGCTTCACCTCCCATATCCGTGACTCCTAAATCCTGACGTTTCTTCAGATTTGGTAATTGGTCATCCCACAGACACTTCCAGTCTGCATGTCTTAAAAGGCGAATCTTCCTCCTGCGCCTCTCCCCCTGCAGTTTCCTCGCTCTAAGCGGTGGCTTTGCATCCTCACCATCTCCAAAGCTGGAAACGAAACTCAATTCCTCCTTCTCTGTCCACTCCTACACCCACTTGTGACCAAATTTTGTAGATTATTCCTTAGCGATCTCTGTGATATTTCACCTTTCCCCTCCTCTCTGACTCCTTCGGCTCTAGTCCAGGGCTTTATCCTCTCTTGCTTCTCTTATTGCAGCTCTGTTGTAGTCCTCCCCCACTCTCAGTGTTACTTCCTTCCTGTGACTCTTCCACGCGTCTCCACCAGATTTGTCTTCAAAAATAAATGAAAATTGATTATGTGACTTGCCTGTTAAAAAAGGACTTCTGCGAGCCTCCTACCTACTTCCTACCCCATGGAAGGGGGTGGTTTGCCCAGGACTAAGGGATTTCCCAGGAAACAGGACTTTCAGTGCTAAAACTAGGAATGTCACCCTACCACTATATCTTCAGCTCAGTATGAATAACCATTAATAACCATTAATTGGACCATCAGCCCAACCACCTAAGTGAATCTCAGCGTTACGTTTCAGCATAGGAGTTCCCAGCTCCGGGAGGAAAGGATGGCATGACTATATCCCCCTCTCCCTGGCTCTGTGCATCATTAAACCACTGTGTATTGAGCCCTCGCTATATGCCAGGCACTATGCTAGAAATGCAGAAGTGAACTCAAGACACAAGGTTCTTCCCACCTGGTTGGGTCATGGAATTCAAGATGCCTCACTGGAAGGCAAGGCTTCTCACTGGATCCATCCAGGATCCTCACTGGAGCATGAGCTGTTTGACAAGCTAGTCTGGGAGGCTGAACCTCAGGCTTCAGTCAGCTCTCTGACCTGTGATGAGGCTGAAGGCCCAGTTCATGCCTCCCTTTGCTGCTCCTGTGCGTTCTTTCTCATCAAAAGCAGAACTGAGGAGAGGACCCCGGTGCTACGGAATTAACGAGAACAGCGCCCTGCTTAACACCTGTACTTTCCTGGGACCGCATGCTCACTTGTGCAAAATGGGCAGACTTGCTAGTAAAAGGAGATCAGCAGAGCCCTCACCTCCACTCCCATGAGCCCTAGCACCTGATGAAGGGGGACTTGGGGGGAGTGACAGGAAAGGGTGGTGTATATCCCTGAGGATGAGAGGAAACACCTGCTCCGTGCCCATTACACGGCATACTTGGGAAGTACGCAGGGCAGGCCGTGTGCCACAAGGGCCGGCAGCTGACTTGCACCAAACTTGTTTCTAGTTGGGGCGGGGGTGCTACTGACAGTCTTTTCTCTGGGAAGGGTTATAACACTGTTCCACACAGACTGACCCTGAGAGACTTTGTCAGGTCTACCCCTCACTGCAGTGCCCTCTGGGCCTTGGTCCCTTCTAGCCAGAGATTTGTCATTAACTCAAAAGTAGCCTCTCATCCTCTATAAATGGGGATAATCTGGTACCACCTTTTAGGAAGTTAACTTAGCAGTATGTCTATGTCCTCTGAACAAAATATCCTATAGAAATAGTTCCACAAATGAGTAAGTGTTATATATAAAAAGATCTACTGCACCACTGTTATCATGGCAGAAACATGGAAACAATGTGAATGTAAATCAAGAGGGCCTGGTTAAATACCTTATTATACAGAAACACAGTGGAATACTAGGCAGCCATGAAAAGGATGGGGTAGTTCATTCTCCCCAGTGTGGAAAGATTGGACAGACATGTTCGAGAGCTATATATTTGGGAAGAATAAGTACAGTAAGGTCCCTTTCGTCATAAAAAGGGCATGCACATATGCGTGTCTCACATACATGTATTGAGATACATAGAAAAGTTCTAGGAGGCTACAAACCGAATAGTGATCATGGTGCCTTCTGGGGAGAGGGCTGGGACGTGTGAGAGGGGAGAGGCGTGGGGCAGGACATGGATGGAGACTTTCATGCTGACTTTGTCTATTCCCGTGTTGTTTGGATGTTTCCCGGAGAGCACATTACTGTATTTGTAATTAAAATTCTTTTTTTTAAGGGGAAGTATTCCACTGCCCAGCTTTTCCCTCTGCACCAACACGGCCTATAGGCCACACAGGCTTCCGCTCCACCTGCTCTTTTGCTTTCTTCCCCCTCAGGAGAGCCAACTGTCCTTTGTTCCTAGAATCCCCAACACACAGGCCACTCACCAAGACGAGTTTGGGGAGGAGTTACTCCTACGTCAAAAGTGGGGCTTAGAGGCGTGGCCATGCCGAGCAGGCTATTCCCTGCGTTCGCTTTCCAAGCCTGAGGCAAACACCCTCATCAACCACAATGGCTTAAACTGTGGCAGAGGTCCCCTGCCCCATCCCTGGTGCTTTTTATTAAAAAACAGAGAGCTCTACTTTCGTGAGGCGCACGAGAGCCCATCAGAGTCACCACAGGAGATGGCCGTCTCTTCTCAGTCCGCTCAGGACACTCAACCTTCCAGACCAGCCCTCCACATTTGAATCTTCACTACACTGGACTTCCAGGTCACACAGACCTCCCTGGAATTGGACAGAAGTGACAAGGAAGGCTGTTTTCTAGACAGGCCTTGGAGATGTTCTTTGGTCTCTATAAAGCTGACACTCTCTTCTGAGGGGTGAGACTCAGTCTGGCGTCAGTCACTGCCTGTCCGTCAGCTGCGTGTGCTCACAGCTCAGACCCACGTTCACACTGATCTGAGCCAACTACAGCAATGCCATCTTTGAGTCAGCCCTGAGTATATTTCCATGAATCTAAAGGTGGAGTTCCTGCATGACCTGTGGTCCAGCAAGTGCCTTCTCATGATGCCAGATGAGATGTGTGGGCTCCTGGTTTGGGAGACTCTCCTCCCCACACTCAGGAACATCTGATGGTTACGTTGCCCACCCTGACACAGTTTCCCTGGGTTTCCATCATGAAGGGTCACGTTAGGTTCTTCCTCATCTCCTGGCTGTGACACTAGCTTGGTGACAGTGGACCCAGCCATCAAGATGCTCCCCATGTTTGTGTCTTTTTGGCACAAGAGCTGTCCTGGGCTTTCGTGGGAGGTGCTTAGACTGCCTGGCTGCCTATGCTTCAGGAGACACAAGTGCTTTCACGGCTCGTACGAGGGGCAGGAACCAGACCAAAAAGAGCTGTGCAGGGGCTACAGGTCCCCTTCCCCCCACCACAGCCCACCAACAGGCAGACTTGGGACAGATCTTGGGAGAGAGGCAATGAAAGGGGCAGAAACAGATGGGCAGGAAGGACAGAGTGTGAATAGAGGGAAGAGAAAAGTGCTGGGAAAAGAGAAGCAGTAAGGTTGCAAAGAAGATTGGCTAAGAGTAACTCAGCCAGGGGCAGCACACAGTCAGACCGACCACCCCTCCTTCTGGGAGCCTCACTTCTGCACTAGCCTCTTTCTTTAAGGAAATGTTTGCTCCAGCAATGCCCCTCTCAACTTTGAAATTGCCTCCACTGGATAGCTCCAATCCTTGTGAGATAGACCTACAAAAATAGCTCGCCGCTGTGACCTCTTTGGAAAACTGTAAGTATTTACTAAAGCTAAACTTAAACTTCCCTCACGGCCCAGCAGTTCCACTCCTAGGTATAGAGTCAAGTGAAATGGATGTGAAAGTCCACTAACCTCATATGTGAGAATAATCAGACAGTTTCATTCAAAAGAGCCCCGAATTAGGTAAAACTCAAATGCCCATCAAAAGGAGAATGGATAGGTAAATTGATACGGAATATTACACAGAAATGGAACACTAGATAGAAATAAGAAGAATCAATACATGGAAAAACATAGATGAATCTCATAGGCACGATGTTGAGCAAAAAAGCCGGACATAAAAAGGTACATACCGTATGTTGCCCTTTATACGAAATTCAAGAACAAGCGAAATTCATCTTCATTGATGGAGATCAGAGTAACGCTTGTATCTGGGAGGGGTTATTGACCGGCAGGGGACCTGAGGGAACTTTTTGGGGTGCTGGGATATTTTGTGTCTGATCTGAGCGGTGGTTATGTGGATGTATGCAAATGTAAAAGTTCTACAAGCCGTACATGTGAGAATAGTGCTCCTTGTGCATTTTACGATGTGTTTCACAACTCAGTTCCTCCCCAAGAAAGCGCTACACACACGCAGTCTTTCTCACCCAAAACCACACACACCCCCACCTTAAACACAGATACTTTTGCAAGTTTCCGCTCTGCTTAGCACTGCGCTGGGCCATAATAAGCACTTACTGGATGTGTGGAAAGTAAACTCATTTTTAATGTGCATCTGTTGATAAAACTAATCAGTGTTTCCTTTCTTATGTTTACAGCCTGATTTTAAGATGGGCTATATAATTTTTTCTAGTCTTTCTAAAATTAATTATTTAATCATTTTCCAGTCTTTTTCTAGAATTTTACATGATCTCTTTATACCTCACAAATTACAAAGACTGCAGCTGTTAAGCAGTTTCTTCATCTGCTGTCAACCTCATTGTGCTGGATCCTGAATTTTGCGTTTTGGAGCCCAAATTACTCCCACCGCTAGGTGGCAACAACCTCGCTGAATTAAAGTAGAGCCGAGCTAAGGACCAAAACAAAAAGTCAGCTAAAACAACTCGGGCTTGTTTTTCCTTTCCTTCTCAATATACTGAGTAAGGAAAAAAGCCATTCATAAATCTGTATTTCTTCTGTAATGTGGGCACCCAGTCATACCTCATAAGGAATGCATGGGCCCCGAGATCTGATCAGAGTTGTGTTTTCAGTGAAATCTGATGACCAATATATAAAATTTTACCTTATGAAATGAATGTGCCTGAAAAGTCCACTTCTGATACACTTGTTTATGTCTTTAAATGTGATAATGGATTACTTTTTTAACTGACCTTAGATATTAGCGTCAATTCTCTCCCCCTATCCAGTATAGGTCTCCCCCAACCTGTATATCTTGCCCAGTAAGTCCGCTGAAGTCCTTATGGTTCAGTTTGTCATTAAATTGTTCCTTTCTTTCCTCCCACTTCCGTTATACCCAGTCTTCCACGACACTTTGCTATCTCCCTCCCACATTTCTCCCTTTAGTTATAATTAACAATGTCTTATTAGTTAAAAAAAAAAAAAAAAGAACAAGAAGCAGCAGCAAGAGAATTTGATGCATCTCTTTTCACTGTCTCTTCCCTTCCTGAAATCTTGAGGAGCAAAGTGCTACCCAGACTGGACTGGCCGATAGAATCAGTTCATTTTGTCCTGGACCTGAGACTGAGATGAGGTCCTTGAAGTGGACAACCTGTATTAAGCTATCGGGCGTTGTAGGACTGCCTGGACCGTTTCCTGCGCTGGCCCTGCCCCTTTAAAGGTTTGTCCCCGCGTGTTTGCAGAGAAAGCATTACCTGGCGACGGCCAAGCAGTAGATGGCGTTCTCCCTGGGAGTCCTCCCGCTGTGCTCCGAGAACGATGAGAAGGAGGATCTGAGTAGAAAGTCAGCACTGGGGGTTGCGTAGTAAAACGAGGGGTGTGAGTAGCCCACTCTTGAAACGGGAGGGAGGGGGACGTGAGGAAGATACGTATTTTTTATGAGCTTCACTTTTTTCCCAGCTGCGGCAGTAACTTTTTTCCGATTTTGTTGTTGATGTCTTTGCAATTCAGAGAACACATCTGCATCTCCCAGCGGAGGCACTTTGCGGGTTGGTTCCCTTGTGCCCTGCTGTGGAATGGCCCAAGGACTGCCAGGTCTCTGGCCTGCAGTTTGCTCCCCGAGGGGCGGGAGCTTACCCACGGTGCCTTGCAAGTCCTGGTTCTCAGCCTTATGCCAGCTCTTGGAGGTCATTCTGGGTTTGCTGAAACCATCCACCATCACAGTGTCCCCGACTTTGGCCCCAAAGACCCTGACTCCGCAAAGCTGGCTTTTATTAAGGCCGTGACTCTGAGCTCTCAGGATCCATTGTTTTATTTTAATATAAACCCTCATGGGGACTGAAATTTTCGGAAAAGAAACTGTGGACCACATTTTACTCAACAGATATAACACGCAGTCTTTGTGCCTGTGTTTGAACGCGACGGTCAGGGGAGTTTGTCCCTCCGCATTTCTGCATTCCAGGCACAGCACGCTGCCGTTGACAAAGGCCTTCAGAATCAACAGCTGCCCCGCCTCTGCAGCTGCGTGAATGGGGCATTTCGCGACGTCCGCGTGAAGGGCTTCGTGGCACCATGCTCGACAGGGGTGAGCACCCACCGCTTCGTTGGGCCGCACGCCCTGCTTCAGGGCCCACTCAGTGAGCTCGATGTGGCCGTGAAAGGCGGCGATGTACAGGGCGACCCTTTTCTGATACCTGCAGGAGTGACGCGAGTAGGAGGGGGGTGTTCAGTGACTCAGCAAACACACAAATGTAGGGACACTAATACCCACGAAACATCTAGTTAAAATGTTCACTTCTTACTTTTACCTAAAATGTTTTCAGAAAAGGCATAGAGTAACATAGAGGTTAAACAGCACAGATGCCGCTTACACACATCGTCTTACTGGGCACATGTAAATAATAATCCAAACTGGTTTCTTAGGAGCGGTTTTCTTTCTTAGGAAAATCAAATGCTCAGGGAAAATATCAAGCTTTCTGTTAATTCGGAAAGTGTTAGAAGGAATTCAACACATGTTAGAAATTTGAAAGTTCTGTATGTTTGCTTTGTCTTTTCTGACAACCCTTATTTTCCCGCTTCTCAAAGTCTCTCCTGCTACTCTGGTCTACACCACCGGCTGCCCCGCCAGCACCCCCACCAGTGCTCTGGTCTCTCAGCTCCCTGTGGGCTTTCCTCACGCGGTCCTCAGTGACTGGATTGGAGGACCATGGATTGCAAGCGGCCTATCCTCTCTTGCCAACCCCCAAAGAACTTCTCACTGCAGTTGAAATTCAGACTCCTCACCTTGGCCTCAAGGCCCCTGTCCCCTGCCCCTGCCTGCCTGTCCTGCCCCACTCCCCTTCTCTTTCACTGTGCTAGAGCCGCACTGGCCTTCCTGGTATCCCGCCAATACCCCATAAGGCATAAGTTGAGAGACTGGTGAAGGCTGTTCGGAGAAACGAGAGTTAGGGAGGCAAACTAGACAAAGTCCCGCCAGGTATTGTCTAGGGTACACTTGGGCAGAACTCTCTGGCCCCATTGTAGAGATGGAGGCAAGCTAACCTGGTATCATCCCAGATCTACTGCATATACCTAACTCTCCTGTCTCTGATCGCATGCTCACCACACCATCTTTTGATGTCTATGTGGCTTCCCATATAATTTTTCTGTATGAGGAAGATGGTCTGCCCAGAACATATGGGTGTGTAGGACCCTGTGGCAGTTAGATTATAACTAATTGGGGTTATACATTAATATGCTGGTATTTTGGTTCACACAAATTTCTTTTGAAATTCATTAGGGCAAGTCAGCATCTTTCAATATGACCAGTTTTCTCCATTTGGGGAGAAGACTCCCTCCTAGCTGGACTGTGAAGATGCCCCCTGAGATCTCTGGGCGGCTGGGCAGCTATCCTTCCCCTGGCACCCCAGGTTCTTGGCCCACATCTTTCCTTCAAACATCTCCAGTTGGATTTATGGGTCCAATAAACTCTTCAAGCTCAACATGCCCATGCCTGAATTCCTCATCTTCTCCCTCAGACTTGCTCCTCTTCTAAGGTTCCCTTCCTGGATGAACAGGCCTTCTATGCACCATATTATCAAGCTGGGAGCCTAGACTTCATCCTTGTCTTCTCCTTCCTCTCCCTCTCTTTCCATATCTAATTTGCTATCTAGACCGGTTGACTCTGCCTCCTGAATATATCTTTTCATAGTCTGTCCTCTTAGCTCCACCTCTGTTGCCATAATCCTAGTTCAGGCTGCCATCATCTCCTGACTGTCTCGCTCTCTCTTTGCCTGCCTCTATTCCTTACACCACAGCCAGAGCCAGCATTCTAAGATGCAGATCTCATCATGGCCCGTCTCTACTTTCAATGTCTTCCCAACGCTTAAAAGATAAAGTCCAAATTCCTTTACATTCTTGCAGGGGCCTGCCTGAGTTGGCCTCTTATCTTTCCAGCCTTGGGCCAGTAGCTCCCTCTCACTCTGTGATCTACCATGTGGAACTTCTCCAGTTCCTTGAATCTATTCTCTTGCCCCCTAGCTCTTTGTACATGTGGTTCCATCTATTTGGGGACATCTTTTTTCTTCTCTCTGTCATCTACCTGAGCACCAACCCTTCAGGTCTCAACCTAAATTCCATTACTCAGGATGCTTTACATGACCCCCTAAGTCTAGTTCGTTGTCCATAATATACATTCCCATGTCATCTTGCACTATGCCCATGTCACAACACTTTTCACACTGAATAGGAACAGCAACAACGTCTAACACATATCCTGTTTCCCATGTGCCAGGCAGCCTTCCAAGTTCCTTGTAATTACTAGGTCATTTAATCTCTAGAAAGTTCTATGAGATAGATACTATTTCCCATTTAATGGAAAAGGAAATTGAGGTACAGGATATTTAGATAACTTGCCCAAATTTATACAACTAAACACAGAGGGAGTGGGGCTTTGAACCTAGACGGATGGGCACTGGGTTTATACTCCCAAACATTTTGCAATTCTGCTTCTGCGGGAATGGGTTACTTGTTTTCTGTCTCTCCTACTGGACTGTAAGCTTGCTGAAGGCAGGCCCACATCTTATTTACTGCTATATTCCTAGGATCTTGCACAGTGCATAGTCAATGCTGAATAGATATTTGTTGATTGGGTGGAGGAATAAAAGGAGCTTTCAGTGTGATCATTGACAGCCCCAAGCTCTCAGATTTTATTTAAAGATTAGGTCAAGTGGAGATGGTTAAGCACATGAGCACTGGTGTTAAATTGTCAGGATCCAATACCCAGTTGTGCCCTTGCTAGCTGTGTGACATTGGGCAGATTTCCAAACATCAGTGTCCTCATCTATAAAACAAGACAAAATAGCATCCACCTCATAAATTTATCAGTAGAAAATGAGGTAATAAATAGAAAGCAGTGTCTGCCACAAAGTATTCAATAAATGCGCACTATTTAAAGTAACAGTGCCACACAGCTATTTCTTTGGATTCAGAACCTGAAAAAAGAGAATTATCACTATCCCCAAATAGAAATTAATTTAAAATATTTGAATATCTGTAAAATTGCAAAAGCTGGTATTGCAGTGTGTCCCTTCACACAGCCCCCAGAGCTCCTGTGGGTGTGGGCTTCCGTGCAGCGAGGAAATCACCCACGAGGGGGCGCTGCTCTAAGACGCGGCGGAATTAAAACCCGAAGGGCGCTGCGGCTTATGCATCTGGGAAGCCGCTGACTGCGGAATGACATTAAAATGTCCACCTGCTTCCCTGAGCCTCCCTTCCCCACGGCCCCAGCCACACACGGTGCGCTTGTCTGTAGGTATGCATGTGTACATGTGTGGCAAAAGTATGAACACTTCTATTAAACGCAGTTTGAAAAATTGCATAGGAGCTTGAGAAGAGGCAGCCAATGTTTTCAGCCAATCAATTAGCACTTAGTGTTTTTTAGCATACTTGAAGGTGAGAGTGGCAAGGTACTTATTCTGATAGCCTGTAAAAGTGCTGTTAAAAGCCTGATATCCAGACCATTTAAGTAGTGTTTCCTGAGGACAGTCTACCTGAATTGCGATCCACCACCAAAGGCTGTCAGCCCTGGGGCCACCCCGGCTGCCTTGTTCCAGCAACCTTTCCATAAGAATGTCTGGTTGGGGCGTGCTAAGTGGAACTGGCCCGAGCAGCACCCCAGCTGCAGAGTCAGCTGCAGACTCAGTGTCCTATGGAAGTTTAGTGAAGATTACTTAAACTAATTTAGCATTGGCTTTATCTCCGTACTTGAGTACTGGTCCTTCGTTTGATAAATAGCGTTGCACTTTAAGTTTTTGTCCGAGGAGACAACCCATCAGAAATTCCTTCCATCCATCCCAGACGTCCAAGCGAAGTGTTGCGCCTGTGGATCAAGAGAGGCAGTTTATGGTTCCGTCCGTCACCGTGGTGGGCCCTCCATAAAACTCCCGACAGCTTTCCCCAAACAGAGGCGTGAGCTAAATGCAAAACAAACAGTAACCTTGGGATAAGTGGACAGTGATGCTATTTTCAGCTTAGGCCCGTATTGACTTGGAAAGCCATTTAGCTTCTGCGCACTTCCATTTTCTCATCTGCACGGTCACCACACATAGCGCTGAAATCTATTTTGCAGCTATCTTAAAAAGTCCCGGGGTCATTGATTCTGTACTGATGATGAGGATTATTTTGGGCTGGTTACTTTTGAAAACTGCAGACAGGAAAGAGACTCTGAAAGGTAGAGTATGCTTGCCCTTTGATGAGAGACATTTGCATTTGTGAAGGAAGTCCCCATCTGTGGGGGCATCTCCCTCTCTGCCCCAGGAGGAAGGGAGGATGACCTTATCTCTAGAAACTCTTAATGGGGAAGGCTAGGACTTCAGTCTGCATAATCTTGTTCTTGTTTACTGTCTGGTAACCTCATGTAACTGACCCCCCCACCACCAACAACATCCTCCTTTGTCTTTAGCTGAAGATGATATTTAAGGTGATGGCTTTAGCCATTTACTTAATCCGATCTGATTCTTATCTACAGTTATAGTACCACCCAATAACCAGGCCCCACCTGCACTGATACCATTTTAACGACTTTTTTACATATTCTTTCCTTTGTCTTGTAAAGAGATAAGTCACATATCTATGCCTTATAAATCTAGCTCTAACCCTCAACACACTGCAGCAGCTCTTACTGCCCATGGGTCCTGTCCCCATGCTATTCCATACTATTCTGTAAATAAAAGCACTACTGCCAGACCTTCAGAGTCCAAGAAATCTTTCTTTCACCTCCTCGGCTCGCCAACCCCACATCACTGATATACACATCACCATGTAAACCAAAGCCCTTACGTTGGAAGAGGAAAGTGAAGCATACGCAGCAGGACAAGTGGGCTTGCTGGGCCCTTAGCTTACAAGTGGCTGCGGATGGAGCTGAGTGATGCTCACCGGGTCATCCTTTCCTTCTGTCCTTCACAAAAGAGGAGCCATTCCCTGTTGTGAACATAAAAGGAAAGTGTTCTCTGCTGCTGGAGGATTTATCACTTGCTCCTCAAAAGTCTCTCCTGTTTTGCTCTCTCTGCCACCACATGCCCTTTGTTCTTCAGGCAGGCGTTTTGGGGAATCTTTCCTCAGCCTTTTGCTCTTCTGGCTGTACACATTCCCTCAGGATAGAACCCAAACTCCTCCCCATCTGGCCCACCCAGACCTCTCTCACCTCCTTGCTCGACCTCACTCACTCTATGCCGGCTGCTCTGACCTTTCCAGTCCTTCAGACACACCAATTGCATCCATCTCTGGACCTAAAGACTTACAACTTCTTTTGCTTGCTGCGGTGCCCTTGTCCTTCAGCTTTTGACTCAAGTGTCATGTCCCCACAGAGGACCCTCTCGGCCACCACAGCTAAAGCAATCTCTGCCACCACGCGTCCTCCCCTCCCTTGCTCTCTATCCCGTGAGCTCACTTTAACGTCTTCACAGCGCCTGTCATCAGTACTTGAAATCAGTCTACCTGTTTGGAGATTTTTGTTCATGTCCCACTAATATGAAAGCTCCTTCAGGACTTGCCGCACGGCCGGCCCTCGGTAAGTGTTCCCCGAACACACACTGACTGGCAATCTGAGATGCTCCTGGCTTCTCTGGCCACCCGTGTGCCGCTGTCTCCCAGGTCCAGATCTTCAGCCCAGACCCTCACTTCAGCTCCAGGTCCCCTTGCTGGGGACATTGCCATCCAAGTGATCGCACTATGACCCCACTGTTCCAAAAGACAGCTCGGCGTCTTTCCTCCCCAACCTGCTTTTCCTCCTGCATCCAGGGTCTTGGTCTGTGGCCCCGCTGTCTTCCTGGGTACCTAAGCTGGAAATATTTCTGCTTACTTGATGTGCTTGCCTTCCCCGTGAAATGAAGCTTCCAGGGGGCAGCCCTTGATGCTCTTGCTCACAGCCCTGTGCCTGCGCCCCCCAGTGCTGCTGGCTCATGGTGGGGTCTCAGTAAATACTTGCTGGATGAAGTTTGGCCCCACTCCCAGAACCCATTCTGGCCATGTGCCACCCTCCTAACCCTTAGCAGCCCAGCAGGCCAGCCTGCTGTTCTGTGTGCACACAAGGCTGCTTTTGGCCTTGGCACTTCTTCTCTCGGTGCCCCTTCTGTCAGAATTCTTCTGACTCCTTCCTCACCACCTCCTACCAATTGTTTATAATGCAACCTCGGCATCACCTCCTCTAGGAAGCCCTCCTTGACTATACCATCCTCTCACCTCTTCAAATAGGGTAAAGGACTGCTCAACTGGCTGCCATAATATACTCTGAAACTCTTTATCATTGTATATACATTGCTGCTTTGGAACTCCTGGTTTGCAAACACTAATAGAGAACCCTTTGAGCCCATCATCATGTCTCCTCTAGCCTGTAGGCTCTGCTTTAGTTATGCTCCTGGGTTGCAAGGAGGCCCTCGAGAAAATGGGGTTTATTATACTCAGAGACAATAATTGGATCTGGTGGACACTAGGAACCAGGGCACCCCTCAAGAGGGGCCACTCCCCAGCTCTCCTGTGGGCCCCAGGACCCCTCTCATGCCCTGTGTCTGGGGGTGTGTCTTCTCCCTCTCTCTATGGACAGGCTGCCCTGCTTACTCACAGTTTCTGTCCTGTCAGAACTTTGGCATGCCTATGACCCAGCCTTACTTCATGACACCTTTCATTTTCTGCCTCTACTGATAACCAATTTTGTCTCTCTGCATTTCCCAATTTGAATTCACAAGACTAATAACAATTAATAATAATAATATATTGAGGGGCTGGTCCCATGGCTGAGTGGTTAAGTTCGCGCTCTCTGCTTCAGTGGCTCAGGGTTTCACTGGTTTGGATCCTGGGTGCTGACATGGCACCACTCATCAGGCCACGCTGAGGTGGCGTCCCACATGCCACAACTAGAAGGACCCAGAACTAGAATATACAACTGTGTACTGGGGCGCTTTGAGGAGAAAGAAAAAAAAAAAAGATTGACAACAGTTGTTAGCTCAGGTGCCAATCTTTAAAAAATATATAGAGAGAGAGAATATGAATAGTTAATATTCATTGCATGCTTATGTGCTCTGCATTGTTCTAAGCACTTTACATGAGTACACTGATTTAAAATCCACAACAGCTTTAAGTGGTGGGTTGTATCATTCTCTCCGTTTGGCAGTCGAGGAGACCAAGGCGCTATGCGGTTAAGTATCTCGCCCGGGGTTTACACATCAGTAACAGGGGGAGTAGTTGCTGGAGCTGGGCAGCCTGGCTCCTGTGCCCACGTTCCTGTGCTCTGTGTTATACTGATCTCCAAATGAGAACCTAACTGACACTGCTGTGACAGCTGACGTCGCTGGGCAGCCCGTGGATTGGCTGCCTCTCAATCAGTATGATGGCCTTGGCCGGAGGAGCTGGGGGTGAGCATGACTTGGCTTATCCATACATACGCTCAGGCTCAGACACATAGTAGGTTCATAGTAAATACTTGCAGGTAAGAAGGAAGGGAGCAAGGAGGAAGGAAGGAAGGAAGGAAGGAAAGAAGGCAGGCAGGCAGCCCTCATTAGCTCTTTGGAGCCATACAGAGATTCTAAGCCACCCTTATTTTCCTTGACTGGGATTTCCTAACACCAGTAATCTTAGAGTCACAGGGTGCAGAAGACAGAAGGGTCCTAAAAGGCCAGTCCCTCCGTTGCCCTCTGGGCAGGCTAGGGAGAGGCCGCTCAGCAAGCTGGGAGGAGGATCTGGCCTGGAATTTTTGTCTTGGGACTCTTTCCAAGGCCTGGAAAGTCCCCTCCTTTCCGTTGCCTTTCTCTTTCTTTTCCTTCTGTTTCCCTTTCTTTTCTCTTCTCGCCTCCACTCCACCGGTAGACTCACACCGAAGTGTGTGTTCTCTCAGCTGATCCCTCCCTTTCTGGAGGTTCGTGTTATAACCCGCAGCCCTGAAATGGGGCTCTTCCTCCGTTCCTCCTTACTCCGGGTTTGGATTTCTTGACCTGGGCCTCGCTCTCCCTGGAGGGCTGCTTCCCAGCTTGCCTGGTCTGCATTACGGCCCTTATCCCTCAGCCTGCCTCACCCTTGCAAATCCAGCCTCAGCTAGGAGAGTTCACTCTTTTTGCTGCAGAATTATGGAATTATTCCGTAGAGACCAAGTAGTGGTTCTGCAAATATCCGTGTAGAAATGCCTTGATAAACATTTTCCAAAATATGGGTCATCCTTCACATAATAGATTGAGTTTCTCTAAAGCTTCTCGTTGTACTTAAACTTTCTTATCAAATGTTTGATTCATACGGGTAGCCCTGGAAACAAAGGACTTTAAATACTGTTCCAAGTGCGTTTATTTCAACTCCTGACTTAAATGATTTGCTGTGTCTTTAGTTTATTATGAAAAGCACTCACAGATGAGCACTGGAAAGCTGTAGTCTGGTGCTGTCCCCCCAGCCTCCTTGGTCCTCCACAGCTGAGGACACAGCCTCCATTTGAAGGACCAGCCCAGCCCCAGGCCCAGGGAACAATCGCAATTCCAGGAGGATGGCACTTGTTAAGATTCCAGGCCAGCAGCTCAGAGGTTTGGTGGGAAGTTGGTGTTCTGTTCACCCTGCTCAGATGCTGACCCGTTCTAGTAACTTGCCTTATTCCTCCTGACTAAACCCCCACCTCGCGCCCCGCGCGTGAGTCCCAGTCTCCTACCCTACATTTTGGGTTTTAGAACTGAGGTCCCATCTCTGTTCTCGGAGCCTGGAGCTGAAGTTCCTACTCTGAACCTCAGTCTCTGGGGTTAGATTTCTGTTACAGGTGGTCAGAGCCTCCAGGGTCAACAACCGGCTTGTCTAGTTTCCCTCTCTTAGGTCGTTCATTCGTTTATTCATTCACCACCTCAGTGCTATGGTTCACCCACCAGCTCCCTGCTGGGTCTCCCCGAGCCTTGCCCTCAGCCTTCCTCCGTCTTACCAATTGCCAGTTGCAGACTGACCTGCCTATTCCAGGGCCCGCATCAGCAGGACTTATTTGAAGCTCACCTCCCGCTGCTAAATGTCTACAGGTGGGTGCTTCCTGGCCCATCTGTCCTTCCGGGTGGTTGCCTAGCCTCAGAGTCTCGGCTCTTCCTAGCTCAACCTGTCCACTGCTAAGGAGCCCTGATTCTGAAAACGACAGAGAAGGGATTTAAATGCTCATCAGCAGCAGGGCACCTCCATCAAACCCTTATTTTATTCTGCTTTAATTCTCTCTCTGGGAGCAAATATTACGAGTATTATAACTATCAATTTCAGTTCCTTGCAATGAAGCAGCCCTAATTTTTCAAAGAACAAAGATAACGATGGATAGTTTTTCTCTTAATGCTCAATTTTTAAATATACAGAGAATTTCTAAGCAAGTTAACCAGCACCAGTTATTGGGTAACTCTTTCAGCCCAATTGATTTGTAATGCCTCCTTGGTCACACATTAAATTACTTCATAAGCTTAGGAATTCTGTTGAAAAGTAGAAATTTACTTGAAAAATGCTATATTGCTCTGGAAAATGTAACTAAAATCTATTACTGAAATGAAAGTAAAACTAGCAAGACTTAAGCTTCAGGCCTCTCACAACATGAGCTTTCTAATTCTCTATTCTTAATTTTGAATTTTTTTAAAGAGGACCCCCAAAATTGTATGCATTTACAAAACCTGGATCCGCCCACTTTCCACCTGCACACCCATCCACCATGCCCCAGCCCCGCAGGAAAGCAGGTGCGAGCAACAGTGCTTATTCCAGGGGATCGGCTTCAGCCTCTCCCTGGTGGTCCCTGTACCCCAAGTTTCTGGATCCTCATCCATACTCTGGGGTCAATATCTGCCCATCTGATTTGGGCTTTTTCTTCCTGAATGTGGAAACCATTCCTCTGGTTTGGGTTTCCCCTAATGGGGAGCAAAACAAAACATGGATCAGAGCTTCAAGGGCTCCAACAAAAGTAGGGATCAATCAAGGTGTGCCGAGCTGGCAGTGTCGCTTGTGGGAAAGGAGCAATCCCGAGTGCCGGAGCACCATAACCTCGAGCAGGTCCCTTCACTCCTCTGAGCCTCAGTGTTCCCATCTCTAAAAGGAACTGAAATGGCACAGTCAGGCTCCACAGGCCTAAGGGCTGGTCGAGGGACCCCGGAGCCAGCCCAGAGTTCAGGGTCTGAGCTGATGGGCCCTGCTCCTGGAACAGTCTCTCAGATGCGACGTGTTCAGGCTGGCCCTGAGTGCATGCCGTGAGAAGTCCCAAAGGCATCGTCCTGTAACGGGGAGGCATTCCTTCATTTTCTCATTTGCTTAGGCACATCTTGTTCCAGAAAGGATTAATGTCTTTCTACAAGCTTACATAGGGCACAGACAGAATAGCAAGCAGGTAAGCATGTGGATAAGCAAGAGGAAAGCAAAGCCAGGATAGAGACTCAGGAGCTAGAAATGGGGCGAAAATGAACATCTGTCTCATCTCGGTTGATACAAGAGAAGGGGTGTGTGTGTGTGTGTGTATTGGACCTGTATGACATGCCACTAAGCCTCAAGTCCCAGAATCACACATATTAGCGGATGTTTAGCTTTGATAAATTCTTGATAAATTAATTATTAAATGTTCTACCACCAAAGAAGCCTTTTGTCCCTTTATTACTTATCTTCTTAATCCCTACGATCTTTCTGTCTCCATCCACTTTATTAAAGCCACTCTCTCCAAGCTCACCAATGACCTTTAAGCCAGATCAACAGGTTTTTCTCAGACTTCGTCTCTGGTCTCTTACCAGCATCCGGACAGCATCCCCTTCGTCATCTGGGACAACGCAAAGTCCCAGTTCTCCCGCGACTCTGACGGCTTTCTGTGTCTCATTTTCTGACTCCTCTTCTGTCCTCTTGCCCTGCCTTTGTCGTGTTCTGAGCGCTGGCCCTTGGACTTTGACATGACCCTCTCTATTATTCTTACAGGGCTCAACCCCCAGCTCTAAGGGCAGGACGCCCACAGCAATGTCTGCTAACCCAGCCCCGTCACTCAAGCCCTCACTCCACAGTTGTACTCACCGCTTTGCCACTAGCTGAGTACTAGCTGAGTTACTTCCAGAAAAAAACATACTGTCTGAGTTTGCTTATATCTAAAGCTTAGGACCCAAAACACAATCTCCTTTTCCCAATTTCACCACCGCTGTCCTGGTGACCGGCCTTGGTGCTTCCCTCTCCTTTTATGTGATCCAGCATGACATTCCGTCTCTCCTTCCTGAGTTTCTCAGGTTTGTCGTTTCCATTGCTAGTGGAACTAGTTAATGCTGGGGTTACCAAAAGTGCCAGTTAGCACACCCCCCTGCTTCCAGGCTCTCCACACTCCTTTCTATAGTTCATGCTGCTTGCGATCAGATTCAACTTCTGTTGAAACACTCCTGTTCCAGAATGCACGGGGCTCTGATTGCACACGTCAAACCTGCGCTCATGGCCTCACCCTGAGACCCCTCAGTCTGACCTCAGCTGTGTTTCCCATGGGTCTCAGCGGGGGTCCTCCCCTCTTCAGAACAGTCTCCTGTTTTCTGCCCTCCTGGATTAAGCCCATGTTCGTGAACCTGTGGCTCGTGCTTTTCTCCTGGCCTGGAAGCTTGGAATGTCTTCCCTTCCTCCTCTCAGATGATCCATGTTTCCCACATCGTTGTATGCTCAAGCCCCACAGTCCCCAGAACGGCCTCCGTTGAGCCCTTCAACCTGTGCTGATCTGGCTTATTGGATTATAACCGAGGACACGTGCATGCTCGTTTCCACCTGTTGACTGCGAAGGCCCAGAGTACAGAGGCCGATTTGTCTATTTCTGTATGAACTGGTATATGCAGTGACTAATTGAGCTCCTTAGATCTTTTATTTTCAACCTGAATTTGACTGCTTCTCCAAAGCCTTCTGATTTTCCACTGCCTTTGGAAAGGGGTCAAGGTTCAGCTCTTGACAGCACCAGGGATGACCCCGGACAGGCAAGGGGAGAACCTGGAAGAGAGGATGATCAAGCACTCCTTTCCCTCCAGTTTAAAAAGGTGGGCTGGCTACTTCCAGAATGCTGCACTGCTTTAGGCAAAGTCAGACAGCCAGCTAAAGACTCCTCCTCCTTCCCTTCGAGGCCCGTCTTTCCCTGCCTCTCCTTGCATGCCCTGTATTCTCACCGTGGCAGAGCATCTACCCCGGTCACACTCAAGCCTCCAACCTTACATCTGAAGACCCTCACTCCCAGAGGACCATTTGAGGGGCCGATGTGTTGTTCTTGACACACCTGAGCAATACAGGTCATTTAACCATTCGGAACCTTTGTGCTTTCTTTAAATCTATAAAAATTTGGAGTTGGGCCAAGCCATTTCTAAATTCTCTTCCAGCTCTAGAATGTCGCATCGTGATCTGAGCAGCGTAGGCCTGAAGAACAGTCACCCTAGTTTGCTCATTTTCCTTTGGAATTTCATTAAATAACTAGATTATAAGTTGCTTGGGGACAAATACCACTTGTGTGCCCTCACTCACGTGAGCCCTGCCATGTCTGGGCAGGGCTGGTCCCCCAGCAAGCACGCAGAACAGCGGTGTGCTTTACAGTGAGGTACTCTTGGGAGAAATCCCAGAACCTTGCTTCTTCTGATCAAAAACAGGGATGGCAACTGATGTCAAAGTTTTGAGAGCCTCAATTAAAAATAACATGAAAGAATAAGCAAATATAATAGGGGAAGTAATAATAAATGCAAATTTAGCAGTTATAAAAAGCAAACTGCTTCACTCAAGGATGTCTACCAGGCCCTATTATGAATTGGGAGAACTCAAATTCCGTTGCAACAAATGTTACGGCACAACATTACCTAAGGAAGCGCTAATGTCGGCAAAGACTCATTCACTTCAAGCAAGACTTTCTACAAGGTTCCAACATGGTTAAAACAAATATGACAGTACTTGAGTTTGGCTTAATGATGTTTGGCTACAGCAGACATGACCTGGAGGTACAGTACTTAGAGAGAGGTTGTACTCTGCCCATCAGGGATGAATGCCAGCTCACTGAGGCACCTGTTCAACCTGCACAGTATTGGCTTCACACTGCTTAGAAGATTGTTCCATATAACTGACAATACTGTAAAACGAGATTGCCAAAAGCAAGTTTCAGAACAGTGTGCATCACATGCTACTACTGTCATTAAAAAGAGGAAAAAGAGTATACACTTGAACTTGCTTCTAAATATGCTTGACATATATTTTGAAAGAGAAAAATACAAACTGGTCTGAGTCTTGCTCTTCCATCCCGAGGATATTAACAAGTTCTCCTGCTTTGAGCAAAGAGAAGATGACATGGCAGGGCCATGAAATGGTTCATATTTCCCGGTCTGTAGACCCAGGCACCAGAGACAAGTGTTGCTCATTTACACCCACACTGCGCTTACAGAGGTTTTAGTTTAGAGACACCTCCTCTGTTGCGAATCTGGTATCAAAGGCCCTAGTACTGAACAGTAGGATCACATGGTATCAAATGCAGAGAGCAGTACCGATGTCAGTCTGGTAGTCCCTGAGGGTGTTGCAGTCATACATCTCCAGTCCCTTTGGGGTCCTGAGGCAGAAGACGCTCACGGGGAAGCCACACCTCAGAGATACCAGTGTTCTCAGATCAGACACTTTTTTACCAAGAAGGGAAATGCTCTCCATTATCGGCATCGTCTCTTGGGTCACAGCATTGAACACGTAGAGAGTGGGCTTATCTTCTTCCTAAGGGGAGAGAAAAGGAGGCAGCTCAGGAATAAGCACTGTCTGGAGGACAGGACAAGGGACAAACATCTTGGAGGTGGCTCTGAGTGCCTCCAGCTCCCACAACACAGGTGGTGAGGATGAAGCAGAGGCCAGTTCAGTTCTCTGACTTCTGGGCTGGGTCTTGCTCTTCTGCCCTGAGGATGTCAATGAGTCCTCCTGCTTTGAGCAAAGTGAAGGAGACGTGGCGGGGCCGTGAGACGGTTCTCAGTCCTCAGCCTGCAGACACCCAGGAGGAGGGTGACGGTTCACAGCCACGCTGTTCTTGTGGAGGCCAGTTTAGAAGCAGCGCCTCCATCATGCTGGACTTTAATTTGGAAGAACTGTGGATTCTACGCCCTCCGCCAATTTTCCAACTGCCTCTCTGTGAGGTTATTAATGGGACAGAATCGAGAGCCCATAGATAAACCCACACGTCTACGGACAGCTAATTTTTGACAGAGGAGCCAAGAATATGTAGTGGAGAAAGGAGAGTCTCTTCAATAAATGGTGCTGAGAAAACTGGACAGCCACATGCAAAAGAACGAAAGTAGACCACTACCTTACACCATGCACGAAAATCAACTCAAAATGGATTTAAGATTTGAAAGTAAGAGCTCAAACCATGAAAATTCTAGAAGAGAACATAGGCAGTGCACTCTTTGACACCAGTCTTTGCAGTATCTTTTTGAATACTGTGTCTCTTCAGGCAAGGAAAGCAAAAGAAAAAAATAAACAAATGGGACTACATCAAACTAAAAAGCTTCTGCACAGCAAAGGAAACCATCAATAAAACGAAAAGACAACCTACCAACTGGGAGAAAATATTTGTAAATCATATATCTGATAAGGAGTTAATATCAAAAATATATAAAGAACTCATACAACTCAACAAGAAAAAAGTGAACCCAGTCAAAAAAGTGTGCAGTGGATACAAACAGACATTTTTCCAATATACAGCTATACAGATGGCCAAGAGGCACATGAAAAGATGTTCAACATCACTAATTATCAGGGAAATGCAATCAAAACTACAATGAGATATCACCTCACACCTGTCAGAATGGCTATTATTAACAAGACAAGAAAGGGCTGGCCCAGCGTCATAGTGGTTAAGTTTGGCATGCTCTGCTTCAGTGGCCCAGGTTCACAGGTTCAGATCCTGGGCATGGACCTACACACTCATCAGCCATGCTATGGTGGCAACCCACACAGAAAATAAAGGAAGATTGGCACCAGATGTTAGCTGAGGGTTAATCTTCCTCAAGCAAAAAAAAGAGGAAGATAGGGCAGCCAGTCTTGTGACGCAGTGGTTAAGTGCACACGTTCCTCTTTAGCGGCCCGGGGTTTGCCAGTTGGGGTTCACCGGTTCGGATCCCGGGTGCAGACATGGCACCGCTTGGCAAGCCATGCTGTGGTAGGCGTCCCACATATAAAGTGGAGGAAGATGGGCACGGATGATAGCTCAGGGCCAGCCTTCCTCAGCAAAAAGAGGAGGATTGGTGGCAGATGTTAGCTCAGGACTAATCTTCCTCAAAAAAAAAAAAGAGGAAGATTGGCAGCAGATGTTAGCTCAGGGCCAATCTTCCTCAGTAAAAAAAAAAAAAAAAGACAAGAAATAAATGTTGGAGAGGATGTAGACAAAAGGGAACTCTCATACACTGTTTTTGGGAACGTAAACTGGTGTAGTCACTATGGAAAACAGTATGGAGATTCCCCCCAAAATTAAGGATAGAACTACAGTATGATCCAGCTATTCCACTTCTGGGTATTCATCCAAAGAACATGAAAACACTAATTCAAAAAGATATATGCACCCCTGTGTTCACTGCAGCCTTATTCACAATGGCCAAGACTTGGAAACAACCTAAGTGCCCATCAACAGATGAATGGATAAAGAAGTGTGGTATATATACACAATGGAAACTACTCAGCAGTAGGAAATGATGAAATCCGGCCATTTGTGACAACATGGATGGACCTCGAGGGCATTATGCTAAGTGAAATAAGTCAGAGGGAGAAAGTCAAATACCGTACGATCTCAGTCATCTGTGGAAGACAAAAACAACAGCAAACGAACACATCGACACAGAGAAAAGATTGGTGGTTACCAGAGGGAAGAGAGGAGGGAGGCGGGAAGAGGGCGAAACGGGTAAAAGGGCACACGTGTACGGTGACAGACGGCAATTAGACTTTGGGTGGCGAACACGGTGTAGGCCACACAGAAACTGAAATATAGCGATGTACACCAGAAATGTATGTAATGTTATAAACCAACCTTACCTCAATTGAAAAAGAACCCTTCCTGTGAGGTTCTCTCTGGACAGTGGACCGAGTTCAGGGTGGGAGCGGAGGTTTGCTTATCATTGTATGCTCTTCACTGTCTGAATGGCTCGACTTTTTTTTAATAACCACATGTATTTACTTTTACTATTTAAAAAGGGAAGTACTAAATATAACGGGAAAATAGTTGCCTTTGTTCCTTTTCTTTTGCAGTCTGAATAGGAAAGCAAGTGGAACTGCGACGTCTGAAGCAGAGTTCAGAAGGAAAGTCTGGGAAAATAGTAATCCTGCCGTTAGCAACAGCTGCATGAAGCCAACCCGAATTAAAAACCCAGCGAGCAGCGAAAATGCGAAGGGGGTAGGGAGGGAAGGATTACTAACACTTTCGCATTTCTAACAAAAAAAAATGAAACTGGCTTCACTTCCTCTTCAGCGGATTGAGGACAATCGTGTTTTTCTTCACTGCCGGGTTGTTGGCCTGGCTGGTGCGCGCACCGAGCAGCCGCCGAGCGCGGTGAGGGGCTCTGGGGGGCGGGGGGGCAAGCAAAGCCGAGAACGGGCATCTGGCCTCCAGGGTCCCCAAGGGGTCTCCAGCCGCTCCCTGCTCTCTTGCCCTCCACCCCCCACACCAAATGCGTCTCCGGTTTCTCCAGGGGCCCCTCCCTGCTTCAGGCTCATCACGCATTAAATGCATTCCCCGCCTCCCAGATAACGCGTGGCCGTAATAGAATCAACATGCAGATCTCTTTGAAAGAGCCCTTAAGGAGTAAGGTTAGCGATGAAAGTTTAGGCAGCAGTGCTTTGATCCAGTAACTCACATCCCCGGGAGCAGTAACTCAAACGCGGCCTCTGGGGCTGAGCATAAAGCCGCCCTGCAAGCTGAGCTGCTGCCTGAGTCTGCAGAGCTTGGGAGGCTCTTTCTCCACAGCGCCTCACAAGCCCACTCAACAAAAACTGAGGGGCACAGATTCAGCCGTTCCGGTCCCCACGGCGCCCGCTTTCCTACGCTTCGGTCAGGGCAAGCATCTGCCCAACAGAATCCACGTGACGTCTATGGGCGGGGAGAAATGCGTATGAAACTGAATAGAGAGACAATGAGGCAGAGAGAAATGTTACGTTTTATGTAATAGCTGTTCCTTATTTCTTTTATGATTCCTCTGACTTCTCTTTAGCTCTTGGCATGGGTCCTGATTTATATGTAAAATTAAATGTGCAATTAATGTGCAAACAAAGCAGCAAAGGCCCCGTCACTCTGAGAGCTGACTAGCTCCTCTACCAGGGCAGAGAAACAAGCTTACAGGTGCTTCTCAGAATAGGAATAGATGGGTCACATACACATAAAGTAAACATCGGTATCCGAGGCATTCATACAGCTCCGAAACAAGTGATAACGAGGGAGCATTGCAAAACATCTGGCAATCTTTAGATGAAAATCAAAAGTGCAAGGAAGAAAATACTATCAACTGTTAACGAAGCCAGGTTCTTAAATCTCAAGAAATGAACGCCTAAAGAGTTTGTTCATTTTTTTAGCACTTGGGAACTTTTCAGGCTTCTTTAATTCATAATGTATCTGGAACATAGTTCATCGCACTATTTTAACTCAATACATACACCTTTTATAAACCTTGTTTTTGTGGGAAAACCCATTTTAAGTTCTAATGAGACACACCAGTTGGAGACACTTCTTCACGGTGGTTATATGGAGAGGAAGCAGGTAGGTGCTGATTGCAACTTGCCAACTCACCTTATCTGCATAAGAGAAAGCATCTCTGCGTCTAGATGATGCCCCTCCCTAAAGATCCTGAGTGAGGGAACACTGATGGTTCTACCCAAGGAAGTCAGATGCTGTTAAATAAACAAGGTCATACACAAATCATTGTTGGACATACGTAAAATCAGATTTTTTTCCTTTACAAACAAACCAAAACACCATGGTAGGAGGTACATACAAAGTGTCTTACTTTTCAATAAAAACAAATACATAGATCTGTTTCATGGGAATAATTTCTCTTTTGTCTTCAAAAAACAAGTGCAAACTCACTGTAAATACATACATGTGCATTAACAATAAAATAGGAAAAGTTAAAGAGAAACAGATGGAAAGAAAGAAGTTAAAGCAAATTTTGAACACTGCTGGACTTTTTTCACAAGTTCTGCTTTTTCGTATTTTGCTGTTTTGAAATTGTGCACCAAATAAGCGGAAACTTGCCCCAAATATTCCAGACGAGACGAAAAGGGGAAATAGCATTTGTTTTTATTGAGCTGGATGAAATCAAGTTGAGATGTCTTCATGAACATCTTAGCTTCCTAAACTTCTCTTTTTGGATGATAGTCATCCTGGAGAGGTCATACGTGGAGTCTAGAACACTGAATTGAAACATCTTTCTTCGAAAATTCTTTGCATACTATTCTTTATGGCTCATCTTAGAAAAGATAGCCATTTTTTAAGAAACATGTTTTTGTTTATGAATTACTATACATTTTCTTTTCTTTTCTTTTTGAGGAAGATTAGCCCTGAGCTAACATCTGCTGCCAACCCTCCTCTTTTTCCTGAGGAAGACTGACCCTGAGCTCACATCCGTGCCCATCTTCCTCTACTTTATATGTGAGATGCCTACCACAGCATGGCTTGCCAAGTGGTGCCATGTCCACACCCGGGATCTGAACCTGTGAACCCCGGGCCGCTGAGGCGGAACGTGCGCACTTAAGTGCTCTGCCACTGGCCAACTCCATTACTATGCATTTTTAAGAAGCTTGTTTATACATATTTTGTGTATAAAATGTATTTAAAATCTAAATTCACATACTATTTATCTCCTGGATTTGGTGTTTATACATTAAGAGTGCCTCTTCAAAGCTAAAATGTGTATTATGTTGAGTCCGTTTTAGACCTGTTAATATAGTTCACACTACTCCAACTTGTCTGATACACATCTACTCAGTGGTACCACAATTAATCCAGTCTCTCACTGTAAAACAACATTTCAAGGATGCCAGAAAGGATGAACTAAGTTTTACCCTCAGCCCTTGGTTGGTGGAAGCATGGCAACAGAAGGAGGCAGGGCAGCCAGAAGGAGTGTCAGGGAGACAGCCCAGCTCAGACTTTAGAAGGCACAGCATCCCCGGCAGCTGCTTCTCAGCCCACTTTGCAGTACCGCGTGGACATGTGACCAGGGCGCCCCCTGTCAGGCCTACCCACCCAGCCCCGCTTTGCGTTAGGAGATAGTAGGGCAGAGAAGCAGCAGACACAGGGAATTCTCCGTGTCAGAGGCAGGTCTGAAGCACTGCTGGCCTGGCAGCAAGGCTGGCAGCAGTGTCCAGTGCCTGCTCTGAGGGCAGAGAGGTAGCTGCAGTGGTGGCCTTCCTGGGCTGGTTCTGGGGCCCAATTTAGAAATTGTTTCTGGCTGCGGAATCTCTGAGCCCAACTCTCCAATCTTCTTGTCAAGACTGTGAACCACCTACCAGCCTTTGAATGCGTTTATTTTCTGCTTAAATTGTCCAGGGTTCATTTCTGCTGCTTGCAACTAAGAACCCTGATGCTGGATAGGGAAAAGTGCAAGGATACGGGAGTGCCATGCCTTGTGGGAAGAGGAGGTAGAGAGATGCCACAGTAAAGGAGGGAATCCAAACCCTGAAATGCACCTGGATGCTTTGCTATAACGTTTCTGACAATTATGTACCTTCTTGTTCATTTTCATGCTTTCTCTCTCAAGGCCCTTATAAACTCATTTATTCAACACATATTTATGGAGAGCCTACTGTGTTCCAGGTACTATTCTAGGCACTGGGTGACAACAATGAACAAAACCCAAGCAATAGTTTCCACAATAACATGGGTTAGAATAAAGGTGTTGAAGGCGAGAGCAGCCCGACCTGCTGGACCACAATCCCGGCCTTCGCAGCCCTCATACCGTGGTTTACAGGAACACGGTGAACTGTAACAGCACAGCAAAGGATGAGCAGGACCGACACCTGTGTTAACAGAACTTGGAGACGTACACCATAGAAAGTATTTCTTATGGTTTCCGTAGGGGTTTTTTCCCAAAGAAGGAAGAGTTAATGCAATGTTCTTGCCTCACTATTTACTTTTCCAAATGTGTCTACATTACCGTTAAAGGAGAAGGTGTAACGTGCAGGGAAACTGGAAAATCTATTGTCTACTTTAAAAATGTATTGAAGAGTAGACCACCTCTTAATTTATCTAATGTCTTTCCCTCTTCTCAACCAAGCAAAACCTCGTAATTCACACAAAAATATAAGCACAATAAAGAAACCAAATACTGTGGATTCATTTGATAACAGTATCTACTTGCACCTTTTGGAAAAGAAAAATTGCTTACTTGCCAAGTTTTTGGTTCACATCATGATATTTCTAAGTTGTTCCAAAGTAAATTAAGAGACTTTAGCTTTCCTCGATTCTCGGAACGTGGAACTAATTGCATGCAGGAACGCGGTTGAATAGGAAAGGTACTAAAGTTTGTATGCATCTCATTGTGCAATGAAGCAATGGCCTGAGAGAACGCAGCCCTGGGTTACCTAAGAGATCAAACAGTGCAGCTGGTCTGACTGCATTCTTTGAGGCATGGACGCTTGCACGTGGTATTCTGTTGCTGTCAGCCCATCTTGGATTGTTATCGCACACGCCCAGTAAACATTGTGGACTTCAGAATAGGCCTGTTTTATCACCTCATCTGAACAGGAACCAAGTTAGGATGGAAACCAACATTTATAGCTTTTGCAGGTGACTCTCTTCCTTATTCAAGATATTATTTTCCTCCCCAAATCTAGCGATAAGAAATTTTCTAAAGGTGATTCTACTGGAGAAGGCGAACATTAAGATCAGTAAGAGTTCCATGGACCCTGAGAGTTTATAATTACATCCTAAGCATTGGCTGGTCCTGTGACTCATGGTACTCTGCCTAGGCTCTCTTGAATAGTCTTTGACCTCTACATTCCATTCTTGTCATTAGCAGTTTAGAACTCCAGGGAAAGGTCAGAGTTCAGTGCAAGGGCAGCTGGGCTCACTGGGATAGATGATGCTTTATTGGCAGAATTTATGAAATCCTTTTTTTTTTTTTTTGAGGGAGGTTAGCCCTGAGCTAACATCTGGGGCCAATCCTCCTCTTTTTGCTGAGGAAGACCGGCCCTGAGCTAACATCCATGCCCATCTTCCTCTACTTTGTACGTGGGATGCCTACCACAGCATGGCGTGCCAAGTGGTGCCATGTCCGCATCCGGGATCCGAACAGGTGAACCCTGGGCCACTGAAGTGGAAGGTGTGAACTTAACTGCAGCGCCACCAGGCTGGCCCTATGAAATACTTTTATAAGTCAGGCTGTGAACGTAGGTTGCCTCTGGGGAGGGAAACTGGGGGCCAGAGGTAGGAGGAGACTTTTTAGTGTATATCCTTTTTACCTTTTGAATTGAGCACCATGTGAATGTACTAGTCAAAAATAAATAAAATTTAAAAATTTTAAATAATAAAAGTCAGTGCTTAGTTAAAAAAAGTATCCTATCCACATTCTTAACATACTTTTATCTCCATCCCTGAGTAGCCAAGGTTCAGTCAGATTCCTCCAGCCAGCTCACATATTTGCATTGACCTTATACACAATCTCCAAGGAAGCAAACAGCAAAAGTCTTGAACATAATCATTGGCTTTGGAAAATTCCAGGAAATTTCAGAGGGTTTGTCCCGTACAGAACCAAAACCACAGTATGTAAATATTTAAAGATGTAAAGAAAAGACATTTAAGAAATGACATGGAATTTAGTCTGTTTAAAAAAGTACTATATTATGCTATAATTTTCTGAGAATCAGAGGGAGAAAAGTAGAAGAAATCAGAGTTGTTTTTATTCCCTTCTTTGATAATTAAACATTCATCAAGAATATAAAAATAATACATGAATGAATGCTCATAAAACATTAAAAACACATACACATATGTGTTTTTGTTTACATAAACGGGATCATACAATGCTTATCTTTCTGTGACTTATTTTTGCTACTTAACAAATATTCTAGAGTATTCCTTTTAAACACAGACTTCCCACTTAGTCAATTAATAAAACATATGAAAATAAAAAGAGCTTTGGCTACCATAAAAATTTTTCTTAATGCTAAATATGAACAAATTAGTGTCCCATTTAACAGAGAATATTTAATTTACAAGTTCCTTGAGGCTCTTGTTTTCATATAGGGTAAGAAACTAGTACTGAATAATATTTCTACTTTAGGGAGCAGCTCCTAAACTCCTTAGACCACCTGTCTCTTTAAGAAATTGTCAAAAGTTAAGGATCCTCCACCCAGAAAATCTCCAGGTACATAATTTTGCATATTTTGCAATTTTAGGTTTTGTAAACTTCTTAAAGCCCAGCCATAGACCCCAAATTAAGCACCATGACTAAGGACACTATAAATGAAAAAGGCTGTCTCTGTTGTGTGCACACCTATTTCATGGCTGCTGTAGATGTAGAAACTGCCCCTTCATTCTTATTGGTACTGAGAATTTCTTCCCTTTCCTCCCTCCGCTGCCCCTAATTCACTGTGAACCCACGGAAGTTTCCCAATCTTTCTCCCACATCAGTATTCCAGATCCGTCCTTGGCCTCATCCCAGTGTTGGTTTGCTGGTTGCTCTGTGATGGCTGTTTTCGATAGGCAGCCAGGAGGATGGGGGGGAAGGGAGAGAAGGAGCAAACAGAGGGAGCTCTCTCCGGTCTCCGCACCTTATCCCCTTACAGCACAAATTGTGCATCAGACCAGTCATCCAAACGGAAGAGAAGAGAAGGCAAGAAGAGTAATCCTCTTTCTAAGTTATGGTACCACCCACAAGTTTATTCAAAACGAGGAAGACATCTTGGACAGGTGTCATTCGGATCATCATACCTTAACAAAACATTTGAGAGTTGAACAAAAAGATATTCCAACATCAGCAAGACTCCAGCTGTCCTTCAGGGCTGCTCCAGCATACGTCAGCTCCAGATACCGCCTGCCTTGTTCGTCCTCAGAGAGGGGAATGTGGAAATAATCCTTAAAAATCAATAGCATATTATTAAAATAGTACATCTTTACATTTCTAGACCAGCAATGTAATCTCTTTTCTTTTACATTTTTCCACTGAACATTATAAAATTGTTTGGGAAAGAGGGAAGATATTTTAGACAGAGGTTCTTAACTTGGCTTCTTCAGAACTACCCAAAAGTTTATAGATAGAATTTAGATGGGAAAAAACTATATTTTATTTTTATTAACTCCAAATGAAATTGATATTTTCTCTCAATTATGCATGTAGGCAACATACTAAAGTAGCAGTTGTTGGCTGTACCTGTGACTTTGTCATGGAGAGAAATCACAGATATTTTCATATCACATTACAGTTGTCGTAGATATCTCAAAATATTATTTATACTGATCACTACTTTGAAATTGTAATAGTTATTAGATACACTGCTAGAACTTGTTATTGTGTTAGCAAAGAAGCCCAGATGTTTCTATATCACTAATTTGTTTTTAAACTTGAAAA